GCTGCCCAAACCCTCACCCACACATTCGTCACCTCAAGGATCGATTATGGAAACTCCCTCCTCATCGGCCTTCCCAACTCTTCCCTTCACAAGCTATAGATCATCCAAAACTGCAGCTCATGTACTCTCGCGCAACAGGCTCCATGACCCCATCACTCCCACTCTTGCCCGACCCCATCACTCCCACCCTCGCCCACTCCACTGGCTCCCCATCCCCCAGAGGATCGAGTTCAAGATCCTTGTCCTCACCTTTAAGGCCATCCATGGCCTCACCCCCTCCTACCTCTCTGACCTGCTGACTCCCTACCAACCCGCCCGCTCCCTCCGTTCATCGGGCTCCGGTCTGCTCCATGTCTCCCGCCCGACCCGCCCTACCATCGGTGGCCGGACTTTCAGCCTCTCTGCCCCCACACTCTGGAACTCCATCCCACGGTCCCTTCGCCTCACTTCCTCCCTCGCCTCCTTCAAGGCCGGACTCAAGACCCTTCTGTTCGATCGTGCCTTTGGTCTCCCTCCCACCTCTCTGCCTTTCCTCACCCCTACACCACCAGTCCCCCACCACTCCCCCACCCCCCTCCCACCCCTGGGCCCCAACACCTGACTGTACATCGCTTTGGGACGTCCTCCCGACGTGAAAGGTGCTCTATAAATATAATTTTGATGTGGTTGATTTGGCTCTTCTGTCTCTTTCAGCTGCTGATGCAGCTTCTGTGTATATTTCTCACTGCATAAATAACTTTTCTCTTTATGTTTCTCATATATACAATCCACGGCTGTTTGTGGGACGCTGCTGTGCGCAATTGGCTGCCGCGTTTCACCCAAATATATACAGTCACTTCACTTTACAGTATATTCTGTGAAGCGCTTTGAGACGTTGAGAAGATGTGAAAAGCGCTATATCAAATGCGAGGATTATTATTACTTTACAATATATTGTGTGAAGCACTTTGAGACGTCTCAAAAATGTGATAAGATGCTGCGTCAAATACAAGGATTGTTAGTATTACAATTATTATTATATATGTGTGAGCTCACCTGTGCATTTCCTGCGTTTTCTGGTTTTATTTCTAATCCGATCTAATTAGTTAATTTCCTGGTCCTTTATTGGACTCTCTGAGCTGCAGCTCATGATAAATGCCACAAGACGGCGCTACAGCACTGTATTCAGGCACTGTGGCACAGCAGCGCCACCTGGCGGCAGACCTTGGGATCAATTGCTTCACTCCAGTTGATGCTCTTTTTAAAAGAAATTTATAATAATGTACTAATAATCCTGGCATTTGAATACAGCGCCTTATCACGTCTTCAAGACGTGTCAAAGTGCTTCACAGAATGTACTGTAAAATGTAGTGACTGTATATTTGTGGGCGAAACGCGGCAGCCAATTGCGCACAGCAGCGTCCCACAAACATTTGTGGATTGAGTGACTAAATTATTATTATTATTATTATCGTGAGGGATTATTATCAGGCATGTGGAGTAAGGAAACTTTTCACCCGGCTGGGAATTGAACCCAGATCTCTCGCTTGCGAGACAAGTGCTCCAACCACTGAGCTACAGGACCCTTGTATTTGGGGAAATAAACAGTAAATTATCGCACACAACACAGATCACCCCGTCCCCCCCACACATACATACTTGATAAATCTACTTTACAAGTTTATGGTGCACCATTTAAATCCAGTTATCTAAATTTCTAAAAGGGGGAAAATATTGATAGATTGACCGATATGTTTTTTTAAACCTTAAAAAAACAACAAAATTACATTTATAGCGCACCTTTCACGTCGAGAGGACGTCCCAAAGCACAAAAGTTTTTCTAAATTTATAATAACCCTTGCATTTGATAAAGTGCCTTATTGTTCCTTATCAAAGCGCTTCACAGAATATACTGTAAAGTGTAGTGACTGTGTATTTTGTGGGTGAATTTACTTTAAGTTCCCTGTACCAAGCATATTTCTGAAGTGCACCCAGGTTTTCGCTAACACTTCTGTGTAAGACTAACTAGGACTTGGGAGATGGTGTCAGAGTGGATCACCCTATGGTTCTCCTTCTCAACGGATGGAGAAGGAGCTCATCTTTATTTGATGTCACCGCCTCTCACTGACAACCTGACTGAGTTTAGCAACTCACAGTGAGGAGAATTGTCCCTGTGCTGATGGAAATGTGTCACATTTCAGTGTCAGACTCTGTAAATAGCAGCTCAATCAGAAGCCCAACAGATACGTGAGCAGACACATCGTAACATCGATAGGAAAATGCATTCTTATATGCTTTTTATAAGTCGATACCCATAATTTAAAGGATTCTTACAATGCTACATTCTGACGTCTTTGCAACTTAACATTGTTCTTAATTTAAAGAAAAAATAATAATTATAATAATCCTCGCATTTGATACAGCGCCTTTCACGTCAAAAGCCGGTGCATTTTGTAGGTGAACAGCAAACCCAATTTGTGCCCCCAATCTACAACAAGCAGAAATGAAATGATTGTATCCCGGGTATTATTGGCCGGGACACTGGAAAAGCTCTTTTCAAGTCGTGCCATTGGATCTTTAACTTCCACCTGAACAGGCAGACGAGACCTCAGTCTAACATCTCACCAAAGGACAGAACCTCCCCCAATGTAGTTGCCCTTTGACAGATTGTGAGTTGCCAACCAGAGAGAAGTCTTGAGCATCAACAACAACTTATATTTATATAGTGCCCTTCAGACCGGGGGTCTCAAACTTAATAGCTGTGAGAGATGACAAGGTGGCAATCTCATTGAGTGCACAGGATGATTAATACAGAATACAGTAATAGATATCTGGTAGTGATTACATGCAATTTCATAAGACTTCAGGTGGTTTATGTAGAGAATAATGAAGAGTTGGGAGTCAGCACAGTGTGGCAATCGCATCAAGGTGTTCAGCTGACAACATAAGTGGTCGGAGCAAAGCGCCAAAAGGTTTATAACAATCACCTCAATGTTTCTGAGAAGACTGGGACTTTTTTTGTAGCTTGGAAATTATTTATTTATTTTTTAATTTATTTATTTACTCTTGGTTATAGCTGCATTACTCTTTATGATTTGTTTGCGGTTATAAAAGTTAGAAACATCAGCACTAGGTAATGGATTTTTTTTTATCCTTGGGCAAACCGAATGTCAGTGCCTAACTTTCTCAATGTTGGTTAAAATAACAATAATCCTTGCATTTGAATATATCGCCTTATCACGTTGTCGAGGCTTCTCAAAGCGCTTCACAGGATACACTGCAAAGTGGAGTGACTGAGTAGTTTGTGGGCGAAACAATGCAGCCAATTGCAATTATTTGTGTTAAATTTAAATATGTATTAAGATCACAAATAGTAAAATTTTATTTATTTGTTATTAAGGTAACATATAGTTGTGGAGCAAAGTGCCTCTATCTAAGCGCTTTGAGACATTTCGAAGACATGATGAGGCACAGTATGAAAGGCAAGGATTATTAATATTACCTCTCTCCACAACAGGTGATTGATTCAATGACCCCCCCCCCCCCCGCCCCCCAAAAATAAACTTAGAAAGCAGTTCCTTGTTACCTGATATCCATTGCCAACTTCCTTAGGATTTGTTTTCGTGTGTGAGATTGCAATATTTAAAGGCAATCAATGCAGAGCTGAAGAGAGTTTTGTGTGTGTGTTTTTGTGGACTCGAGAGTCACTGGACTGAGCCGGGGATGGTACAATCTCACCCCCACAGAACCATTGCACTGAGGCCAAAAGAAACGTTATCTCTCCTCAAACAGGAGTCCCAGAAACTGGAGGCAGTTTCCCCTCCTTCAGGTCCTGTATCACTTGCTCTGGGGTGAGGTTTGTGTAATGAACCTCAGGCATCTCAAACCTGCACAAGTCAGTGATGTCAGTGACAGGAATAAAAGGGGTTTAACTACAGGTTTAGCCGTTGAGAACGACATAGTGAGTTTTTTTTAAAAAAAGGGGGGCTGAGCCTTTATTCACCCCTTTTTTTTACACACACACACACAAGGATAAACATCGGGTAATTTGGAAACGAAGAGATCATTTACCATTTAGATCTTGACCCGAACCTCCAGCCCAGAAGTTTGTTACCTTCACCTTTGTTTGTTTGTTTCTTGAGCTGTTTGTTGGACGAGGTGAGACATGATCAAACAGGGGGTTTAAATCAACTCCACTCCTTTGGGTTGGGATCAATTATCGTCCCATTAAAAGCTGATCGCACTCGTTCAGCCTAGTTTGGGCAGAGATTCTCACGAGTTGAATCGAATCAGGTGGTTAGAGATAGAAATAATAAGGAAACAGACAGATATAATAATAATAATATGAGTTTTGATTTGATTCCCCCCTCCTCCCATTTCATATACAGTGATATACCCACACGTTAAGCTGAATGTTTTAATGAAATGAATTCCAAATCCCAATTTCTTGCCCCAAATTCGAGTTGGTTGCAATAATGGCAAACTGTTGCAGCTGGTGGCCGTGTATTGGGACGTGGTTCAGTTTCAGAGGAAGTGTTAGCCACAAATAAAATAAATCTAGTGGGTTAAGTGCCATATTCGACCTTTTCCTTTCCCTCAAGAGGAATCATATTCCCCAATTAAAGGAAATAGTCACGACAAAAGTAAGAGTTTTTTTTTACCCCACAGTTTATTCATAATATATATATATATAAAATCAAAAAAACATACACACAACATTTTGTTGACACCTAACAACGAATGAGTTCTTAGGTCTTTCACTTCAATCTTTCACTAAAAAGACTAAACACTCCAGCAAAGGCAACAGCAGTCATTTTTTTGTCAACCATATAATGCAAATAGCAAAAGAATAAACACACACAAATATTGCACTTTGAACAATGTTCTTTAGTTTGTCGCCTCTCCGGCTCACCCTGCGAGGAAACTTTTTTTTATTATTTTTTTTAAAAAAATCCACAGTAGTGAGCTGTAAGGCCGACGAGAAACTTTTTTTTATTTATTTATATATATATATGTATAAAAAAAACAAATATTTTTATAGCTATATTTACTTTTGGAAAGGTTTTTCAAGTATATTAAAAGTAACACAGAGCTGGTTGTGTTTTGGGTTGCAACTAAACAGATGAAAACAAACAGAAAGAAACGTTTTAACAATAACTTCAATCCAAGGCAGTTACAACAGTACCTGGGTTTAATTCTTTTTTTCCCCATCAAACATTTTAGTGCCTGCTTGAATCAACCCTTGTTTCCCCCCTCAAAGAAAAAGTTACACAAAACAGGTGTATTGTGTTAGGCTGTCTAAAGCATGCGTTAATACATCTGCACTATCTGTTTTTCTGATGCTGAATGAGTATTCAATTTGAATTCAAACATCTTGGCTGTACACACTGAATATATACATACCACGGGGTCCTGCCCTGTTTGTTTCCCTGCTCCCCCCCCTCCCCACCCCCTTATCGAGGCTTCAATTGTAAAAATTATAACACCTTTTTTTTCTTTGGAATAAAAAAAACATCAGGCAGGGGTGACATTTTTTTTAAAAAAATACTGAGTAATAATTTAGTGCTGCTTTTTTTTTTGACGTTCTCTTATCGACATAAATTAGTCATTACCCAGTGAGGAAAAAGTTATTCTAAAATAATCTGATCTGCATAAATATAACGTCCCTTGGTTTTGGCCGTGTGTATTGTTCTCACAGGTGCCTCTTCATGTGTAAGGCAAGGTGGTCGGACCTGGAGAAAGCTCGCTCACACAGGTGACATTGGAAGGGTCGGTGACCAGTGTGTTTGCGATAGTGGCGAGTTAGTTCATCCGATCGAGCAAATTTCCAACCACAACCTTCCCAGTTGCAATGGTAAGGTTTCTCACCTGAGCAAAGGAGACACACACGCGCACAAAGATTAGACTTGGAAAGCAAAATGCAAACTTTTTTTTTATCAAACGCACACACTCGCACACACACCCTCTATCCCCTATTTTGCCCACAAAATGCACAGTCACGACACTTTACAGTGTATCCTGTGAAGCGCTTTGAGACATCTCAAAAGATGTGATAAGGCGCTGTATCAAATGCAAGGATTATTATTACTATTATAACATTTTACCTTCTCAATATTAATAATAAACTGAAAAGTAACACAGCTGTTGTGATTTGGGTTCAAACTGAACCAAAAACAAACAAAAGAAACGTTTTAACAGCTTTTCAACAGCCACTGCAGTGACAACAGTAAGATTATTTTACTCTGAGATCTCGTCTGTCCTTTTTAAACCCTTTCATTTGTCCCCTTTTCACGTCTGAATAAAACATGATGATTTGGGTGATGATTTTAAAGCCACCGCTGATATTAAAAATAATAATAATTTTGTCCCTCAATCCTAGAATGTTTGTGGGACACTGCTGAGCGCAATTAGCTGCCGCGTTTCGCCCACAAAATGTACAGTCACTGTACTTTAGTATATTCTGTGAAGTGCTTTGAGACGTCTAAAAGCCATGGTAAGGCGCAATATCAAACGCAAAGATTATTATTGTTATTTTATTCATGTTTCAAGCAAATAGTTATTATTATTTTATTATTATTTCACTTGCCAAAATAAACCCACTTGGTTTTGGAACTAGTTCTAATTCTTGTTTTATTCTGGTGGGATTCAACCTTGTCTTGAAATGTTTAAAATTGATTTCTTCAAGACTACGGGTTACGGTGAATAAAAAGTTGTCAAGTTTTTTTTTCGGTGGGAGGGGTTGCTGGTCTGAACTTTGTATTTATTTTATTAATAATATAAAATATAAAGTCAATTCACTCTACGGTATATTCCGTGAAGCGCTTTGAGACGTCTAGAAGACCCGATAAGACGCTATATCAAACCAAAGATTATTATTATTATTATTATTACCGTAATGCCATGCAGAACAGAGGCAACACCCGAGTTGGGAATGCCCCTGTGGAGGGATGTAATACCCTGTAGTTAAAGGGTTTGTGTGGATTAAAGTGCTCACAACCAAAAGGTATTATATCTCCAACTCCAAAACTACGGGCAAAGGAGATAATTTGGTGTGTGGGCTTTGGGGAATCTCGGTTGGGTGGTGTCTTACCTGTGTGAGTTCTCATGTGAGCCTTGAGGTGTGAGCTCTTGGTGTATGTTTTCCCGCAGCCCGGGTATTCGCAGTTGTGAGTGGCTGTGCGTTTCCTGGCCCAAGACCTGCGCCCCCGTTTGGGCTTGGTATCATCTGGGACTCCAACAGGAGCAAAGAGGTCCATGAGAGGCGAGGTGGGAGGGGTGGGCATGAGTCTGTGCATCCCCAGCTGGACCTTCAAGGCGTCTCTGTACACATAGTGTCCTGGGAATTGGGTTGGGGGTTGGTGAGGGTAGTGGACAGGGTAGCCGTTGAGCATCTGGTACTGTTGAGGGACAGACATGGCTTGTTGGCGGCGATGCATGTCATGAGTTGGGGGGTAGCAGTCTTTGGCCAGCATCTCGCTGGTAGTGGGAGCCCTGTGATGACCAAAGCCATGATGGTGGACTTGCTGGTGCTGGTGATGGTGCTGATGTTGGTGATGGGGGTGAGGAAGAGGGTGAGGGTGAGGAGGGTGATGGTGGATTGGCATTGGGGGTGCCTTTTGGTCCAGGATTGTCCCCATACAATCCGAATGTGCTGCCAACATGCAGGACTGTCCACTCTGTGGCTCTTGTTTGATCTTGTGTCCCAGGTGATGCCGAGGGTCAGCCGGGATGGGATGGGATCTCTGGATGGAAGTGTTCATGTTTGGGGACCTGAGCTCGGTGTATTCCCGCCTCTCCACGGTGCCCTTGGAGTCAAAGTCCTGACAGCCCACCTGGAAGCTGCTGGGCAGATCTTGGGTGAGGAGTTCAGCCACTAGACTGGGGTTTGGGCTGTCTGAGAAATTCCCATTGGCAAAGGTATTGGTGGCAGGATAGGAGCTGTCACTGTCGTACACTGTACTGCAGCTCTCTGGGGTCTCAGGCAGGGGATAGGTTGAGTGATGCACCCCATTATTCTCAGGGTTCATCGAGTTGGACAGAATAAAATCCAGGTCCAGGAATTTTCCGAGTTCGTCATCTTCTTTCTTGATGGAGGAACTGTCGAGGGAGTTGAAGGCGGCGAGGTTGACCGGCCTGATCTCATAGCCACACTTGGAGACCGATTCGTCCACTTTCCACCTCTGTTTCAAACCCAAACAACGAGCAACAAGAACCAAAGAGAGAGAGAGAGAGAGAGAGAGCAATGAAAGGATTAACGCACATTGTGTTTTAACAAGACATCACTCTATCCCTTTATCATTATTTGATTCCCTCTGTGGACAACATCCAGTCTGAGCCGAACCTGTTGAACCGGTTTTTTTTGGGGGGGGACTTCTTTTTTGTAAAACCCCATAAGAAAAAAAAAATCATTTAATATTGATATAGTGTGTTTCAATGAACAAACAAAGAGTAGGGATGCGATTGGCACATCTCTCCTTGTTCATCCCACAGACACGAACCCATCCTCGTCTTCAACCCAATTCCAATTCAGACCCAAGCATCCAACCAGCAAAACCCAAATCAATTTGCCATTGGAATCGCTTACAATAACTCTTATAAGCAATCACTCCCCTTTTTAAACCGCCCAGTGGGGGTTTTTTTTGGGTCTGGAATGACTGATTTCAGAACCTCTGCCGAACTGCAGGAGCAGAGATCTGCTAATGATAAGGTAAGTTTGCAGAGCTGTCCCTATTAATTGAAGCTCTTGCCCGCAGACCTTGGCACAGGTCAAACTGAGAGTTTTCAGCAACGAAATGGGACAGGTGAGGTTTGTGAGGTTCTTTGATGTTGAACCCACCACCAACCAACCAACCAACCAACCAACCAAACTGCCACGATTTGCTTTAAAAGGGCAGTAAATAGGAAGTCTGTAGCAAACTCAGGCTTCCCTTCCCTCTAACTTTATTACATAACTCATATGTGTTCACACGTTTGCAAAAGGTAAACGATGGAGAGAGGGGGAGAGAAACACAGCGTTTCAACGCAGAACATAACAATACAGTGGGAGTCACATCTCACGGTCTGTCCTACACACGCGGTGACCAAAAAGTCGGGACACCCTTAACGATGTGTGATTAATCTTAAAGAAATGATGAAAAAAGTAAAGTAATTATTATTATTATTATTATTATTATTAAGCACGACTTTTTTGTCGCCTTGTATATGCAGCAACAACGCACAAGCGCAGGTAACTATTGTAGATACAGATACATATATATATATATACATATAAACACCAAAACAAAGTAAATGGCAAAGTTTCAAACACTTACGTTGATTTGTTTGTGCTCTAAAGAGTGACTGGAAAAGGTAGAGATGGAGGGAAGCATTGTATCTGTCAGAGCCATACCTCCCTCTCCACTCCAGGGAAGTCTCTCTCCCTCTCTCTCTCTCTCTGGTAAAGAAAAAAACCCAAACTCTTTCTTTCTTGTGGTGTATTTTTTTTTCTTTTCTGTTAATCCCCAACGAGTAAAGAGAACAGCTGAGTGAGTGTGAAGGGATAAAGTTCCTGCCAGAGTGCTCTGCCCAGGACTGTCCCTCTCACTCTTGGCACTGACGTTGTTAAATCCCTGGTCCCTATCTCATTGGTGGGAGAAGTTCATCAATATTAACCAGTGTTGTGACTACATTATCCTCCACATCGCCCAATAGAATCACCCAATACATTCATCGGGACCGGAAAAATAAATGCAAAGACCTGCCCACCTCTACAGGGTGAGGAGTAAGGTTCATGAATATAAAACAGTTCAAACCCCAGTTGGGAGGAGCAGAGGATGCCATTGGCTTCTTAGATGGTGTTTGGTGGAGAGGGGGAGAGGGGGAAGGGGGAGAGAGGGGGGAGGGAAGGGGGAGGGGAAGGGGGGGCAAAACCATTACCATTTTGACCAATGGTGTCGCTAATGTTACTGAAATGTGAGGTTCCAGTAAAGTTGACATGTGATCTAAATTTAGTTTTGCTATAAAAAGGGAACTTTGGAATGGAAGCGGAGAATTGGTGGATTGAGATTTGCGTCGTGTCTGTGTGTCTCTGTGTGTCTGTGTGTGTCTGTGTGTGTGTCTGTGTGTGTCTGTGTTTGTGTGTGTGTGTCTGTGTGTGTGTGTGTCTGTCTGTGTGTGTGTGTGTGTGCGTCTCTGTGTCTGTCTCTGTGTGTGTGTGTGTGTGTCTGTGTCTGTGTGTGTGTGTCTGTCTCCCTCTCTGTGTGTCTGTGTGTGTGTCTGTGTGTGTGTGTGTCTGTGTTTGTGTGTGTGTGTCTGTGTGTGTCTGTGTGTGTGTGTGTCTGTCTGTGTGTGTGTGTCTGTGTCTGTGTGTATCTGTGTGTGTGTGTGTCTGTGTGTGTGTGTGTCTGTGTGTGTGTCTGTGTGTGTGTGTGTGTCTGTGTGTGTCTGTCTGTGTGTCTGTGTGTGTATCTGTGTGTGTGTGTCTATGTGTCTGTCTGTGTGTGTCTGTGTGTGTGTGTATCTGTGTGTGTGTGTCTGTGTGTGTGTGTGTGTCTGTGTGTGTGTCTGTGTGTGTGTGTCTGTGTGTGTGTCTGTGTGTGTGTGTGTGTCTCCAGTCTTATTAAGATATCCAGGATGGCTGCAAAAAAAAGCCACTCTCTAACACACACAAAAGCAAAGGCAGTTGGAGTCCAGATTCGCTCTTAGTTGCAAACAGATGATTTGGTTCAGAAGATACCTTCATGCACCAGAGACCCTGTCCTGTGCAGTCACTACACACGGGGACAGTCAGCAGAGAGTCAGTGTGTCAGTGTGTGCAAACACCGGCTCTCTGAACTCGGCGCAATGTTGGGTGTGAGTCGGGTGTTTGAGTCGCCTAATGTCCCAGGACTCTGAAACACAAATCAATAGGAAGTTCTTATTCTGTCTTTTTTTTTAGAAAGAAATACAAATCTGTGTACGAAACAGTGGTGACAAAAGTTTGGTTTCATCCAATGTGACATTTCCTAAAATCCTCTGTTTCTGTTTTTAATCAAATCCAACATTATTATTATTATTATTATTATTATATAATTTACATTGTGTAAACCAAACACTCTCTCTCTTAATGCTGCTTCGTAAATGACTTGTGTAACAGTATAACAGGGACTTTCTCAGATGAGTTAAATGTCACCAGTTGTGTGAGGGGGAAAGAGACTTTAGTGTAAATGTTTATTGAGGGATTCGAAAACGAACTCTTTGAGATCAAATGGCTCCAATAAAGAGTTTTTTTGTAATGTTTATAAGGATTTCAAGTACATTTCTCATTCCGCTCAAACGGTTTAGTTTCTCTTTTATTTCCTTTCTTTGGTGACTACCGATTATTGTTCAGTTGTTACGAAAGAAAGTGAATAAAGAGAAACTTAAACGAAACAAAAATGACAATTATTTTATGTTCAGCGATTCTTTTTTTGTCATAAAAAGACTTGATTCCCGAAGTGATAAAACCCTGGAACCCTCTCCCCCAATCCCCCCCAACTCTCTCCCCCAATCCCCCCCAACCCTCTCCCCCAATCCCCCCATCCAACCCTCTCCCCCAATCCCCCCCCAACCCTCTCCCCCAATCCCCCCCAACTCTCTCCCCCAATCCCCCCCAACCCTCTCCCCCGGGGCTGGGAGTCAGGCTCCCCCACTGCTAAGCGCTCGGAGACGCTATCCTGCGTGGAGGGCGCTGTGTAAGTGCAAGTTGTTGTTGTTATTTGATTTGGGAGATTTTTTTAAAGAAAAATTCAGTCTGTGATCGATCGACAATTGCTGACACTTTTAATAATGTTCCCGAGAACACATATTCTTGGGATAGTGTCGAAATGAGCAGAAAAATGTGACGAGATTGAGTCTGAGAGAGGTTTACATCGTCCCCCAGTGATCAGAGAAAGTCTGAGAGAGGTTTACATCGTCCCCCAGTGATCAGAGACTGCGCTCTCCCCAAACCATCCCGACTTATAGGCTATATTGTTATTTTAATGTTTACAGTGGAAACGGTTTGGAGGGATCGTGTCATCAGAACAGGAATAAGAGGATTCACTCCGACTCCATACACACTGACTCAGGCTGGGGGGGGGGGGGGGGGGAGCAGAGGCTCAGGCTGTGGGGGGGGGGGGGGGGCAGAGGCTCAGGCTGTGGGGGGGGGGGGGGGCAGAGGCTCAGGCTGTGGGGGGGGGGGGGGGCAGAGGCTCAGGCTGTGGGGGGGGCAGAGGCTCAGGCTGTGGGGGGGGGGGGGCAGAGGCTCAGGCTGTGGGGGGGGGCAGAGGCTCAGGCTGTGGGGGGGGGGGGGCAGAGGCTCAGGCTTTGGGAGGGGGGGGGGGGGGGGCAGAGGCTCAGGCTGTGGGGGGGGGCAGAGGCTCAGGCTGTGGGGGGGGGGGGGGGGGGTGCAGAGGCTCAGGCTGTGGGGTGGGGGGGGGGGGGGGGGGGGGGGGGGGGGGGGGGGGGGCAGAGGCTCAGGCTGTGGTGGGGGGGGGGGGGTGTGCAGAGGCTCAGGCTCTGGGAGGGGGGGGGGTCAGACTGGGGGGGAATTTCAAGCTCATATTTCAGTTTTGCAAACATGTAAAACACAAACCATCAGAAGCCAAAACTGCGCATTTTCCAAACTGACTGAAGTGGCTTTAAACTTTTTTTTAGTTTTGTTTTAAAAAAGTGTAGAGGAATCTCCCCCTCCCCCCCCCCCCCCCCCCCCCCACACACACACCCTCTGACACATCAACCCTCCGAACAGTTAGTTTCCCAGATTTTTGGGGGTTCGTTTGGTTTGGGTTCATTTTGAGGGAATCATTTTTTTTAGTCTTTTTTTCATTGAATGTGCATTTGTCCTCTTAGAGCTTCTCAGGTAAACACAGTCAATCCCATGTGGGTCAAAGCAACAAAAGAAGTATTGAATATAAAGTTGTCTATTAATTTTTAACACTCCCCCCCCCCCCCCCCCCCCACCACCAGATACAATCGCGAAGGTAAACACTCTTTGAAGGAGTTATTAAGAGCCATAAATCTCAACCATTTTTAAACGTTTGGTATCAATAAATAAACGCGGTTTAAATGATGTCAATTGGAGCAAAAGTGCAGGTTGGTGTTTTATTTGCGGTGCACAGTATTGTAATCCATGTAGAAACATTCAGATTGCATCCACTAGGAATTCTGAACCAAAGGTATATTTATTAGGAAAGTCATTTGATTTGCAAACTTTTAACCAACTGTGTTCAGAAGGTGGAATCCAGTGCCATGATTTCGTTTGCCTGGAGTACATTTTAATTGGAGTATATTTTAATTGGAGTACATTTTAATTGGAGTATATTTTAATTGGAGTACATTTTAATTGGAGTCTATTTTAATTGGAGTATATTTGAGGTCCTCATCTCTAATTTACGAATGAAAACCTATTCAGGGGCTTGAAACGGAATTTAGGTTTATCAGACGATACACTTTTTTTTAAAAAAAAATGATTTGGGATTTCCAGGGCCCTTTCAGCATTTCTACATCATTTAAAATATGTTATTTCTTTTTTTAAAAAAAAAGTTTGAAGATGCGTTGGGATTCATTTCCCACAGTAAAACCCGACACCCACTGAGCTGGAAGAGATTAAAGCGTTTCCAATTGAAGATATTCAGTAAAATACCCTTCGGTCCTAACAGGTGGAAATGAATATACTGCAGTCACAATTCCAGTCAGCAGTAGATTATGTGTCTCTCTGAACCTACCTGCATATCCTTTGCAGGTCGCAAAAGATCTCGTCCACATCTCCAGCTCATAAGCCTCTCAATACTTTTAATTCCAGGGATGTCTCAGTCTCTCTTGGAAACTCTCTACAGATCTGGTATCCACCACCTGGGCTTTCGGTTCCTTCCTCAGTGCCCATCACCCTTCAATATTAATCCTTCAATATTGTGGCAATGAAACAAGATTGAGTGTTTGAGCAACATGTTAGCTCCTGCACCATAGCTTAATGTTTGATAGTAACTCAGAGAGAGAGAGAGAGAGAGAGGGGGGGGGGGGGGACACACACACAGCAATTTTAATATTCTGGAAATAATATCACCTGTCTCACTAAGTACTAAGTACACCGCAGCTTAACATATTGATAGAAGTCAGATTGAATGAAGTATGTGGGTAACTGAGGAATTTGCAAACTGTATTTTTTTGGTGTGTGTGTGTGTGGGGGGGGGGGGGGGGGGGGGTGTAGGTTGATAGCAGCCTTAGGGGTCACTTTAATAATTTAGCTCTGGTTCAGTCATAAAGAATAACGAACTATCAAACAGAATATATTTATCGTGGCTTAACGTGTGGACATACTGATTCATAACAGTGACCCCCCCCCCCCCCACCCCCCCACCCCCCACCCCCACACACACACATTAGGCTTTTATTTCGTTAATCTGACTATTATTGCAAAGCAAAAGTGCTAACCCACTGCTCTGCTGCCCAGGACAGGACAGGACAGGACAGGTCAGCCTTCAGTCTTGTGGTGGTGGAGAGATCGAATGGACTCTGCACTGGTGGTAATTCACCCCTTTCTGCCCTTTGACAGTTCTTCAAGTGAGACCCAAAGAGCCCTCTCAGGGCAGGAGCTCGGGGTTAGAGTCCAGGCTTCTCCCAACCGGTTAGTAAGGAAATACCCCGCAGATTGGGAGCGAAATCGGAAAGGGACAAAGAATAGTTATTTAATCGAAGCACCAAACGGCGTTACATACAATTCAATACAATATAATACAATCACACAGATCGCTTTGCAAACCACTC